ACTTAGCTGACCCAGAGTCAGTGCATGGTAGTTTGGCATTACCATGCCCCCAGACCACCTGTTGGTGACCTAGGTTGACTGTGGACATATCACAATGGCAAGTTTTAGGAGGCGTTGAGTGATTAGACTGATACTTATGCCCATAGGAGACATGTTCCCATTAATCTTCTCTTCGAAAAGGATGTGGGATTTTGAGAGAATTTTAAATGGGAGAAATTCGTAATGAAACTTGAGCTATCCACGCATACTCAGGTCTGACCCTGATCCCCCTCATAAGCCTACCTGCATGAGTGCCTGTGCCCGGTTCTTAGCGTAGGGCTTGCTACCATGGCTGGGAATTGATCTTCTGAACATCCACCCATTTCTCCTGAGAGTCTGTCAGAAGCTCCATCCAATGTGTACTCTGCTCACCCTGTATGAAAGGCGGGACAAAATGTTTCCCCTTAAAGCTTAGCATCTATATTTACTAAAGAAATTAATACTCTACTAAAAATAATAATAAAAAAAAAATCTTTCTCTCAAATTGTTCACATAAAAAAGACAAATCACCCACTCTTTATCATGACATTTATACGGTAGGTGTTCAGGGAAAATATTTAGTTGGTGAATGGTGGGTTTTCTCCAATTTTGTAAAATTGGCTCTTATCTGCTTTTGCAAATGTACTCTTCAAATGCTCTGCCTACTAATTGACTAGGCCTAATTAGTGTGAATAAAAAGTCTAGAGTTTGACGTGACTAACGTTATCAGGCTGTCAGGTTTAAATCGAGTTGTTGTCTGCATGCGCTATAGTCCATGCATGTGTAGTCGGACAATAATGGGATATCATCAAACAACAGGCGGCGCCCTTCACAATTAACGGTGTCAAGTGACTGAACAAAAATAAAAACGGATAACGAAACCATTTCCCAATTCCTAAGCAAAAAAGAAAAACGGATAACGAAACCCACTTCCCCAATTCCTAAGCAAAAAGAAAAACGGATAACGAAACCAATTCCCATTTCCTAAGCAAAAAGAAAAACGGATAACGGACTTCGAGTCCAAAATCCATTCTCGACACTGGACAGCAAAACGGGTAACGAATAACGATTCCCATTTCCCTATTCGACAACCAAACGGAAAACGAATAACGATTCCCACTTTCCTATTCGACAGTTAAACGGATAACGAATAACGATTCCCATTTCTCGACTCGAAAGCAAAACGGAAAACGAATAACCGAGAAAGGAATTGACATTTCTCAATGCATGATGGGAAAATTCGGACTTCGAAACTTTTTCGCAACCCTGTCCCCAGGGTTAACTTTATGTCGTAACTTTCTTTCCTGTATTAAGTACCTGTCAGTGCGTACCGCTCAACACTACGTAAACGAGATTGTATTTGACACCGTTAATTGTGAAGAGCGCCACCTGTTGTTTGGTTTTCCCGATAATGTATGTGGCGGTGTCGTGCCAAAAACCGTCCGGTGCCAAATAGTGTCCGCTGAGCATGCGCAGTCGGCGCCAGACACTATTTGGCATGTAATACATGCCAAATAGTGTCCGATGCCAAATAGTGTCCGGGCGCCGTCGCACTAACACAAGGGCGCACGTACGTCCTGCCGGACACTTATTTGGCAGGAAAATCGCCGGCGGACAGTATTTTGCAAAGGTGAATCGGACAATATTTGGCAGGGCGGGGAATCAGACAGTATTTGTTGGCAGGAAAAATCGGACTATATTTGGCAGGAAAAATCAGACAATTTTTTTTTGCAGGGAAAATCGGACAGTATTTTGCAAGGGGGAATCGGACAATATTTGGCAGGGGGAATCGGACAGTATTTAGCAGGAAAAATCGGACAGTATTTGGCAGGAAAATCGGACACTATTTGGCAGGGGGAATCGGATAGTATTTAGCAGGGAAAATCGGACAGTATTTGGCAGGGGGGTCGAACAGTATTTGGCAGGAAAAATCGGACAGTGTTTTGCAGCCGGGAAAAATCGGACAGTATTTTGCAGAAAAATCGGACAATATTCAGTGGCAGGGTGAATCGGACAATGATATTTGGCAGGGGGAATCGGATAGTATTTAGCAGGAAAAATCGGACAGTATTTGGCAGGAAAATCGGACAATATTCAGTGGCAGGGGGAATCAGACGATATTTGGCAGGGGGAATCGGACAGTATTTAGCAGGAAAAATCGGATATTTGTTTCGCAGAAAATCGGACAATATTATTTTGGCAGGAAAAATCGTGCGTACTGCACTGCACGCCAAACAGGTGAACTGACGCGAAAAAAAAACCACAAACATTTTGCACAAATATAATTTTGTTTAAACTATTAGGGAAACCATGTAAATAGTTATCACAGATAACAAGGAAAACGTTAAAACAGATTGTAAAAAGCAAATTCAAGTGAAAGAAATCTTATCTATACGACGTCTTGACAGCTCGTAACAGCAAGGCACGCAATAGGATGCACGCTAAGCGCGGACACTATTTGGCAAGCTTCCGTAAACAATGTGACGTCATGGGCGCATGGCCAATCAGAGCGCATTATGCTAATTAGCGGACACTATTTGGCACCGGACGGTTTTTGGCACGACAGCGGTAGGCTAGGCCTGTACACCAAGCATGTTTTGTCAGGTAAGCCTGGACTATTTACTTGTCAAATTAAATTCTTCCTTCCTTTCGGCGTACTGGAAAGATTCCCATATCTGGACATTACTCATTTCTCCCTTTAGTGATTTATGCCACAATTCCGTTTAAAATGTCCAAAAATATTGGATTTAGCAGGGAAATTTGTTACCTAAAAACTATAGTCGGAGTCCCTTATCGCGGCATCCCTTTATCGCGGCATCCCTTTATCGCGGCATCCCTTTATCGCGGCATCCCTTTATCGCGGCATCCCTTTATCGCGGCATCCCTTTATCGCGGCATGGAAAATTTCTCCTTTTGTGTTGACTAAACTCCTTGAAGTGGCGATTTTTATCCAGGTCCTCCAGGCCATAAGGACTTACTGCCGAGTCGTATTTAAAAAAGGACGATTAAAAAATGTTGTTTTTTGGGACTTTTAACGATTTTTAATAAATATTTAGTCACATTTTCCAAAACCTGCAAATTTTCCCTCACCGTCATGACCGTGTCTGCTAAACCTAAAAGGTACCGTCTATTAATTTTAACATAAATCATTAATGGTGCTCCGTCCATGAAAGTTCCATTGTCTGGTTCCCCTTCTACAGCTGCAAACACAAAATGAAGTCGAATGACGATAATTCCACCGCGGAATCATAAAAACTTTTACGGGATCAAAATAAGGACAGCGCGTAAAAAAATAAAACGGCACACCGTGTAAAGTGAATGGCGCCCCCAAACACCAATCAGTAGACGTTGTCACAGTAATTTTTCTTCTCCTTTCGGGGAAGGGCAGGGTTTTAAGAAATCATCCTGCAGGGCTATAGTCTTTAATCAACTTAAACGTTACAGGGAAAATATCAGACTTTATTCAGGGGATGTTTTGGTAAAACATTCACTATGAAAAAAAAAGTTGAGATTATTATAAAAACCACAATTCCCATAATAGGGAGTCCACCTCCATTCGCACATTCCGAGCATGTCTTTTCACAGGCATTTGAAAAGGAAGAGTTATACAACCTAAGAGACAGGACAATTCGGGAAGGTTAGCGGGCAATCTCCATTCCAAACAAGAAACGTGATAAGTACCGCGATAATACGGCGTTCCATCCTACATGCTTACTGCCACTGCCAGCATCCTACTGTCTGAAAAAACACCACGGAGACATTTCACTAAATGTCCAGAACTCCAGGTATGGAATCTTTCCGGAGTATTTTTTCCTCCATCCCTCCTCCTAACCCTCCTCGCTCCTCCAAAATCCTCCTGGCGGTTTTGGAGGATTCTAGAGGATTGAGGATGAATGGTGATTGAAGCACATGAGGATTCTAGAGGATTGAGGATGAATGGTGATTGAATCAAATGAGGATTCTAGAGGATTGAGGATAAATTGTGATTGAATCAAATGAGGATTCTAGAGGATTGAGGATGGTGATTGAATCAAATGAGGATTCTAGAGGATTGAGGATGAATGGTGATTGAAGCACATGAAGATTTTGAGGATTGAGGATGAATGGTGATTGAAGCACATGAGGATTCTAGAGGATTGAGGATGAATGGTGATTGAAGCACATGAGGATTCTAGAGGATTGAGGATGAATGGTGATTGAATCAAATGAGGATTCTGGAGGATTGAGGATGAATGGTGATTGAATCAAATGAGGATTCTAGAGGATTGAGGATGAATGGTGATTGAATCAAATGAGGATTCTAGAGGATTGAGGATGCATGATTGAATCAAATGAGGATTCTAGAGGATTGAGGATGAATGGTGATTGAAGCACATAAAGATTTTGGAGGATTGAGATGAATGCATTTTGTGGCAGGACTGTCTGATGATTTTGAAGGATTTGGCGTTGGTTATCCTTCATTTAAACACGAGTGCAAAATTGTGGGATGAGGAGGATTTTGGAGGATTGACGATGAATGCATTTTGAGGCAGGACTGTCTGACAATTTTGAAAAATTTAGGCGGAGTTGCAAAATTTTGGAGGATTGAGGATGGTTCCAAGCAAAGGGCCTAGGGGTTATTAATGTTTTAATTGCATACATTGTTAGACTTTCTTTTTATAGCTCCATGATTGTATAGTCATTCTTCCAGAACTGTAAGTGTAAGGGTTTTAAACTAAGTTCAGGAAGTATGGTCAGGCCCTACAGGCCCCATTTTTATCGTTTGTAAATTTGTCAATTTTTGGGAAATTGTTCTAAAATTTCACAGTAATTATTGTCAACCAAATTCTTCAAACAATGCATTTTCCAAAAATAGCAGATGAAAACAATATTTGAACTAAACCTTAAGAATTAGAAGGTAAAGATGTTAAAATAACTTGTTTTTCTTTGTTTCTTGAAGTTGACAGAGTTTGAAGGTTCTACAAGGATGTCAACTGTGGAGCACATACAGGATGCAGAGCACAGTGATGACGTATCACCATGGCAACGCATACCGCTCAACATCACTTGAATGAGATTGTACCTGACACCGTTAATTGTAAAGAGCGCCACCTGTTGTTTGGTTATCGATCAACATTATGCAGCAGATAATGCAGCGGTAGGCTATATAGGCCTGTACGTCAGGTAAGTCTGGACTATTTATTTCTCAAAATTCAACTTCCTTTCGGCGTACTGGAAAGATTCCCATATATCTGGACATCACTAATTTTCCCTACAGTGACCTATATCACCATTAAAAGGGATAATGTGTCCAAAAATGTCGGATTTATATCAGGGAAAAGTTGCTACCATGCCTACTGAGAAAACATGTCAAAGGACATTTCCTAGTCTTTGTTGGTCAGTGACGTCTGAGGTATGGGAGTCTTTCCAGAGTATTTTTGAATGCTTTGCATACATTGTGGGTAAGACCTCTTTTTATAGCTCCATGATTGTATAGTCATATAGTCAGCAGGGCCAGGGCCTATTGTTTTTAGTTCACCGCACCTACCCCAATTAAGAACCCAGTATCAATGCACACATATAATGGTGTTCCCTAACGTGGCGCACTGCGACTTTTCTCCTGACTTTCCTCATGCACGGTGTGCCAAACTTCTTTGTTGATAAACTTCAAATTCATTCAGTTGTTACTGGTAGGGCCTACTTTTTCAATAGTGTTTGCCATTTAACTACTATAGTACTGTAAACAATTTCACTGTCATACAATTTTGAGCAAAATTTATAAACGGTGGCGTCCGGAAATTGGGCCAAAAATCAGCTTAGTGTTCCCTAACACAGCGCACTTGCGTAAATCTTGGAAAATTCCAGGTTAACACTAAAAAGGTTATTTAAAGTTAGCAAATTCTTAATTAATAAATGAATATATCTCTACTTTACCCAACTAGAAGTATGTTAGTTAGAACATTATTTTCTTATTTGTGGGTGAGTATATCAGTGGTGAGTTGAAGGTAGATTGTTTCTCGATGATAATTTGAGTTAGAAATATGATTCGGGTTTGTAACTTCAGGGGTTGCCCTTCAGGAAAATCAAGTTTGGATTGATTTGGGGGTCAAAAGGTCAAAGGTCAATGTCATTGGTCAAGGTCTAGGTCATTCCATTGACCAGTATTAACTATTGTACTACATGTACTTGTAATTTTGCACCTTATATCAACAAACTCAGGCCGAGGGGTTCCAACAGCACCGCTGTATTTTTTTAGGAAAGTTGCAGTAATGTTTATTGATTCATTTTATTTCATTAACAGCTTTGAAAATGGAGTTGAGGCCAGACAGACAGGGGGCATAGGACTGCATATTTGCTCTCAGGTAATTTTATCTAATGCATTTAGTGTTAAAAACTATTCGTTTTTGAACTTTTCTCCAAAAACCTGACAATATTTATTGCCAATCACCCTCTATTATTCAGGACCAATTTTTTTTTTGGAATTATTCTTGACCATTCTCTTTATTTGGTGAACAATTTTGACCATTGTCTGACTAAAGGCGTTTGCATGTTGATATTAGTGCTCAGGCATCAAATTACGTCAGGAATCGACCACTAGTCTCGCCCCAACTTGCTCATAGTTGTTTCTGTGGCATGGTTTAGCTGTATTTGTCCTTTTTTGGGGGGGGGGGGGGAAGTAGTGCAGGTGGGAAAATTATCAGAAAAACTAAGATGACATTTTTGTATGTTTACGTTTCTAGAGTTACTTCTACAACGACGATAGGTTCAACTACAACTATGCGCAGGCCAAAGCCACAGCAGGCAACTACAAGGAAGCACAGGAGGTAGGTTGGACTCCCAGACCCAATTTTCATTGTTGCGCCCTCAATAGTTGGCCAGTCATGGCGCAGTGACTCGTCATGGTGCCTGAACTAGTCATGGTGCCTTTCATTTGCAAACATCAAAAACCAAAACTACCAAGTTATTATGAAATACCTGACTGTTAGGGAATGATAGTCTCAAGCATCCTGTGAAATCACGGCACCTGGTGTGCTGTCATTTCCAAGAAAAGTGGGATTTTGTACCGATTTCCATCGATGGTCGGCCCTGTTGAGAAAGAAGCCCGACTTTCTGTCTGTTCTCATCCATAAACTGTTGCCGTATACCTAGATGTAGAACAAAAAAAGATATTGCAATAGCTTGTTTTCCCACGTGCTGCATCTCTTTGGAATCCTTGCCTGGTGCTTATTTCCCTCCAACCTATGATCTGTCCTGATTCAAGAGGAGTGTGGAGTGCTGTGGCCTCGTGGTTAAGGGCGTTGGATACGTGGTCTGCGTTAAAGCTGCAGGTTGTGGGTTCGAGTCCAGCCTGGGGTCATGGTGCGTGTGCCCTTGGGCAAGGCACTTTGTTACTCATTGCTTCTCCCCACCCAGGAGTAATAGGCTCTCAGCTTTGGTCCAAAAAATGGGCCACCGGTACCAGACGATCGAAAAGAGCAATGCTCATAGCGATTTTTTGAAAGCACATCTAGAGATGGAGAATGTGTGATAGCTTTGCAGTGTGAGTGGTGGCAGTGTATCACTTTTGATTTGTGTTTCAAAATGCCGTCAATATGCTTGAACCTGATAAATTGTATGTTGTAACAAGCATGTTTTGGCTGCCATTTAAAAAAGAAAAAAAGGGATAGC